GAATAATTTTCTCGAACAGCTTGCCCAGGATCGAGGTAAGGCTGACTGGCCTGTAGTTCCCCGGGTCCTCTTTCCTCCCCTTTTTGAAGATGGGAACCACGTTGGCCCTCTTCCAATCCTCCGGCACCTCTCCAGAGCACCACGAGTGTTCACAAAGCCGTGCCAGGGGACTTGCAATGACCCCAGCCAGTTCCTTTAGGACTCTAGGGTGAAGATCATCCGGGCCGGCTGACTTAAAAACGTCCAGCCCCTCCAGAAGCTCCCTAACTAAATCCTCACTCACTCTAGGCCCAGGCTTGAGGCTATTGTATTAAATGAGCATGATGCTGTAATGACTGGGTAAAGGACCTCCCAGGCCAGCATAAAATAAAATGCATTAAGATTCTGCTAGTTTTCTGTAACATTTTCTCTCCTTGGGAAATCCCTGCTAAGTAATGACTACAGGGAATGCCAGACTGAACTGCTGGAGCTGCTTATGGCTTTAGGCTGACCTGTGAGTCATACAATATAAATGGCATCCTGGGCAGTTTGTAGGGTTAGATTATTACTGGTGGCTGAACACTGGCAAGTGTTTTGTTGCCAAAGGTTGTCAAAAGCAGCAGAATTGAACTCTGGTTTGCAGTTCTGGACATGCTGCTAAAAAAAAGTAACCACAGATCACCTCTAGACTGCAGTCTCCATGTTATGGACATGCCTGGGGTAAGCTACTGGAATGCTTATGACTTCAGCATCCTCATAGTGCCAGTAGGGAACAGGACCAAGGAATTTAGCAGGGAGCCCTATCTGATGCTGACCAGTTCTCTTGTTGGGCACAGCTGGAGCTAGCCACAGCCAAGAGTGATATGAATCGCCATCTTCATGAATATATGGAAATGTGCAGCATGAAGAGGGGCCTGGATGTACAGATGGAAACCTGCCGTAGGCTTATCAAAGGCTCTGCCGACAGGTAAATTAATATGATCCATGGTTCTCTACTTTACAGAACTTCTGCAGAAATAGTTTACTATTTTTAATTTAAATAGCAATTTAAATAAAACCCTTCTGATTGCTGCTTGGGTCAGCTGAAAGACAGTGAGTTAAGCAGCTTCCTAACATGCAACGATGCAGTGTCGTCTATTGGCATTGCTTTGGTTTTTTCAAGCATTACTCTTCAGTTAATCAAGACCAGATAGTGCTTTTAATAGGCACACAGACTTTCCACTGCTCTCAGGGGGAGTAGCCTCTGCAGAACAAAGCCAATATATGCCATTCTGTAAAAAGAAACCACAATGTGCATATTATATCAAGGTGTTTTTTTTTCCAGAAGATGCTTAACAATGTTGATTCTTTTAATAGACTGAGTAGAAAGCCCTTAGTAATAAGGTAGCAACGGGCAGTATAACTAGCGTATGAAGCAGGCAGCCTTCCTTTTCCCTTCAAACACTGGGAGTTTGAATAAAATAGGTCCTGGACTTGAACCAGAGTTAACCTGGCAAAACCAAATGTGACGGAAGACTTCTAAAGCAAAGTCTCAGGCTCAGTATTGTGTTGGATGGGTCAGAGATTGACGATTGTATCCCTCAAGCTGCTGGACAAAAATGCTAGAATCATTATTTAGGACATTTTTATTAAAATAAAACACATTAATGGACCTAAATCTAGTCATGGTGACATAGGCATAGGGCATCTGACTTGGAGTGAATGGGAGGTTTTTGTTTGAAACGTTGCTTTCTTACTGTCCATTTTAGTAGTGCTGTTTTAATCACCTCTGAATCTTTCTCTGGATTTCTCTACAGAAATTCTCCTTCTCCCAGTTCTGTAGCCAGCAGCGACTCAGGAAACACAGATGAAATTCAGGATGAGTTTGACAGAGAGGCGGACGTGGAGCCGATGGTCAGCTGATAAATAATGAGAGCATTCCAGTGAAAGGGATAAATGCAGAAAAGAGTAAAAACAATACTGACCGAAAAGACTTCCAAGCCCTCACGCAGGGCTCCTGAGGACTCGTTCCAATACGCATCCCCACCCCACCCAAGGATTGGTGCTGTAAATTTCTATTGTTATACAAATGACAAATGCAGACTTCTGTAAGAAAAAAAAATGGTGTTTTAATTGTGCCTTTGCCCCAAGCTGAGCCACTTTGAGCTCCAGTGGAATATTAATAGCAGGTGTTTTTATAAAAAATAATTTAAAAAAATTCTGGCAGCAGCAGAGAATGGTGCTGCAGAGGTTTTGGATGTCTTGATAGACTTACGTGTGATTTAAGGAACTGCTGCAATGATTGGCAAAAGGAATACTGGCAAACTGAGCAGTGAACACGCTACAATTCAGATATGAACATGGTGGCGGGGGCTGGCATAAAAATGCAAACACCTCCAAATTTAGTTGTTAACCCCATTAATAATAGCACGGGGTTAGAAGCCAATCATACCATTATAAGGTATTTAAAAGGGCATCTTCATTCCATCTGTATGGGTGAAGAGACCTTTGAAATCTGCACAAGCTTTCTGCCAGAGTCCGAAATCCCAAGAAGCCTTTCTCAGCTCGGCGGCAAAGCAAGAGGACAAGGTACAGTGGGGTGGGAATATCACTGTTAAACTACTATGCAAAAAAAAACAAACAAAAAAAACAAAAAAAAGCTAGCCTTATTTATATGGAATGTTATGGTCCCTGCTGGGCTACAGTTATCTCTTGGTGGAAGAAAAGCTAAAAAGAAAAAAACCCCACATTTGCACATGTTTAGTTATCTGTAGAGCTTCCTTTGAGGAGGCATGTCTTATTACAATGCCTTTGTTTCCAGTGATTGGATTAGGAGGGAATCAGCCCTTCAAATCATGATTTTTTTTCCCCCAGGATTTAAAAAAACCTCAACATTTGCAGGTTTTACTTTGCTTCCTGAAAGATAACTGTTTTATGCTGCTTTCGTGAAGCCTAGTGGAGTAGGTGAAGCATCAAGCTCAAACTGACGCATCGTGCTATATAGGTGTAGGCTTGAGACGTGACATCGTTGCAGTCGCAGACCACAGTTCTTTTGGAAAAGCTGAAAATGGGAAAGTACTGCAGTTCATTTTTAGGGCATAATGGAATGAATCCTAATATCCTGCTACCCTAGAATTAGGGAAGAAAAGCCACGCGCTTCCCGTGAGAAAGCGAGAAGACTTGGGTCTTATATACCTTCTGTATTTTAAGCCAGAAGAAGCAGCATCCAAAAAGTCCGTTGTTTACTTCCTGTCTGGAGAACTGATAATGTGAGAGAAGCTGTTCTTGGGGGTCATTATGAGTTGTTGAGTAAAAAAAAAAAAAAAAAAAAGGGTGAACTTTTTTTGAAGCATGTAGAACATAGTACAAGGGAGTTTTGCAGGTCAATGTTGAAGGCAGAATTAAGAGCTCTTAAAAGTTAACTGTATGTAGCTAATGACCAGTTACGACTCAAGGGGTCAACATCAAATTATGATTTTATTTTTCATCCTTTTCATGAAAGATTTTCCCCAGAGTGATTTGAAACTACTGCAGAGGGGAGAGGTTTTCCCCTCCTACCAATTCACAGATTGGACAGAAAAAACATCAGGTTATTAGCAGGCCTTTATAGGATTGCATGGAGTTGAGACACTCAAACGGTGACCTAACTTCTGAGCATTGTTTCCAGGCCTCTCTCTCATGATCCAATATTTAAATGTAGGGGGATGGCATTGCAAGGAAATGGCCAGTGTGCTTCAGTGCTGTTTTTCGTCCTACAAGAGCACAAGACTCAGCAAAGTAGTGCCTGTACTAAGGAGAGGATGCCTCAGATATCTGCACAACTTCCTGGACTTTGAGGGGCGGTATCATCTTGGTGGATCCCTGCTGAAATATCTGCAACTTTCTTCAGCTTTTTGTTGTGATCTATCCTGGTCCAAGCTGTAGCTAACTCCGCTTTGACCCAAACTGCGTTTTTTGCAGGCCATGTGAATCAAGTGCATCCTCTGCCCTTTCTTCAGGTGGGGAGAATAATGCTGTGATGATCCTTCTGGATCCACAATATGAGTTTTTATTTTCCCATCCATGAAAAGCTACGTAAGGACATTCATTTAATTTTTACCTCCTATTAGCTTTCTTCCTTGTTAGCAGCTTTATATATCGTGCTGTGATTTTTGTGGCCTTTTCTTCAAGGTATCATCCATTATGCGTTTAACATTTTTTTTTTTTTTTTTAGTGTGCTTTAAAAAAGAAACCTTATTCCAAAGTGCTCATTCTTATCACTTCTTATCTAGCCAAAGCAGTACATTATGTTCAATTAAGGGTGCGATTTTTGTCTGGGGGGCGGGGGAGGACAGAAGTGAAATGTCTGCCAGTCATCGTGACCACTTTTTAATGGGAGTGGGACTGCACGGTTTTTTAAATGAAAAATACTTCTAAAGGTTACCGAGCCTGTTTTGAACCTTGGCTGCTAAATATGTTGTTTCTCAAAAGGTCGAGAGACTGTATGCCAAAGCTGAATGTCTGTAGTGCTTTAGTGACTTTGGTGAAAGCCTAGTTTAACAATTTACTTGTGTAGTGACTTAGCCTCTCAGGAGGCTGCCATTCAGCTGTCTTCAAATTATGAAATGCTCCTTTCGCAGCAGAGAAATTGAGCAGCTTCAATAGCCGTCCTGAGTAGGTGCTGCGGACTTCTCTGTCTAATTGTGTTCTACCAGGAGAAATGGTTCGGGGTTGTTGCCTTTCATGGCCAGCATGTTGAGGAGGAGAAGAGAGGAGAGTATCCTGGGTTTTAAGAGTGGGGCTGAGTGAGGAAGCAGAGACTTCAAGAAATCTGTATTTTACAGTTCATCACATAGCCATAATTATGAGGAGCATCTGTAATGGGGATGCATCATTTGTAAGTGTAGGGGATGCGGGAATGTAGTATAGTAAAGAAATAACGTGTATGATGGTGAAATGTATATGATGGTAAGAGACTACCATGGTTGTTGGTGTCTGTTTTCTCTATAATCACATTTAATCCACCTTTTATTTTTATTAAACAGGTCTTCACACTTGGGTTTAGGGTTTAATTTTTGCCTAGGCAGCATAGGACTTAGTAGTTATTGGGTCAGCCCTGTGATATTTATTTGGGTTGCCCCGCGATAGTTTCCTGTGAGGTTTTTGGTTAGTTTAGTTTCAAACGATGCTGCTCACTTAGTTGACGGTGGTCCCGTTTTGTTTGCATTTAACAAGTCTGTAGCAACCAGATCAAAGCTTGCCAGAAAGAAAAAAAAATTGTGAAAATGCTGGAAATCATTTTGATGACCTCTTTTCCTTTGTAAAGCTGTAAATACTTTATTTTTATTTTCTATTCTTAATGCAGTGTCATATTGACACTTTTTTTAGACTTACAATCAGAAAATCCTCCTCATTTGTTTTTCTCATATTTTTAAAAAAAGGGGATTTCAAGGAAGCAAAATGTTTTTGCTTGTTAGCAGTATAATAGTAATAGATCAAATTCCTGAAATGGGTTTGTACAAAAACAAAATGTTTTCAGTGAACAAATCGCCGTTGCTTTTTTGTGGATGCATGTTGTTCAAAAATGTCCAAAGAATCATGTGGTACAAAGTTTTTTTCCAAGGATTTCATAATTGTCATGTTATTTGAGGTTACAAACAAGGAATCAAAATAGTTTTAAACCAAGGTTTGGGGGGTGGGGGAGGCAGGGGGAATAATGAAATGCAACTAAGCTAAATGCATTAATCTTTTTATAAAAACGCAGTATATTCTATTTTTATTAGAGTTTTTTAAATGCAAACTGAAGTCTGTTAGGAAATCAAATTCCTCCCATGTAAATTATCCTCTGCTTTGAGGATATCCAAATTTTCAACAGTTTCAGTTGACAGTGCGAGAGACACTGCAGCAGGCACGGCTGTGAAGCACTCTTCCCATCTCTTCCCAATGTCTTGCCAACATAATTATAACTTCTGAACTGTTCCCCAACCGTCCACCATGACCCGTCATCATTGACACTAAAGGATGAGATATGGACTGCCACCTGCCTGCTAACCACAAAAAATATTTCAGATGCAGTGCTTAAATTCTGACCTACAACAACTTGCATTTTTTACTTGGTTTACAGTTAAAGCAACTATAAATTGGACTAAGCATCTTTCTTTCCTTAAACAAGTTTTAAGTTGGAAGTAACTCAGTGGATATTAAAGCAGCAGATCAGACTCTGGTCCTGTATGCAGGAAGGCTTTGTTTCCCTGTAGTAAAGGGATACTTTTAGGATAATCCTTCTTGCCATCGAAAAAAATACAGGTTCTGTGGTCAGACCTGATTTTGGTCGAGCAAAGGCACGGGTGATGCATAGGGTGCTTACAGCCGTACCAGGAACACTAATGTTGCAATGATGGAAGCATTTGCTTGTTTTCCTTAGCTCTGCGCTGCGAAAAGACACTGTTGATGGAAGTGTGTTTGTGCCTGCATCATGATCATCTTAATGAAAGACCGTGCTTCGTTCCCGAGTGCTATGTTTCTGAGGACCTTAATGGTTTTTTTGAGAGGAGACTCCCACCAAATTTTCTTTTGTGACAGATGATTCAAAGTATTTCTAATATTCCCTATGCTCTCTTATTGTAACCCAGCTCTGCTGAGATGAGAAATCTGGGCTAGGCTCTTAAATACCATGGTTCATGGTATTTTACTCAATTTGGCTTTTTCACAGTCTTTTTGAGTTTCATGTTCTTATGCCCTGGCACAGAAATGCATCTCTGCGGCTGCAGAACATGTTTTTGTTTTTAAGTAGTTTCCTTGGAGAATAGAAGTCGCAGACATTTTATGTTGGCCTCGAGTTGCATGAAATCTTACTAATCAAACCTAAATTTGGGATCATCCCAAATCAGCAAGTAAATGGTTGTGTAGGCTTGCATTATGCATGCCGGTTTTAAAGGTGAACTTGATTACACCTTTACCTGCCAAGCTCTGAATTCAGCTTTTTGCTGATCTGATTCCGGAGAGGCCAAAAAGGTGGCCCTTAGGCCAGATCTTTGGCAGAAAAGTGAAGGAACAATTGATTTTAAACTTTTAGCATGTCCTTGCATGCATTTATGTAGAGTTTTGGATACTGAGTCTGTCTCATTTGGGGGAAAAAAAAAAACGCTGTTCAGCTCTTCTGTTGGAGAAAGGGAGAGAAATGAAGTGGGAGGAAGTAGAGAAATGCCACATCAGCTCTTTTTAAAGAGCATTATCAAGCCTCTCGCTTAACTCAGAGGCACTCTGTGAATGAAGCACTTTTGCAAAACAAGAAAAGGTCTTTAATCTGCTAGGGCTGTCTCTTCAGGAAGCCAGGATGCTAGCACTGGAATGACTGCTTAAGAAATAACAAGTGGTACTTTTGAATCTGCTGGTCCGTGTCATTCCTCTGGAACGTGCAGGAACCACCATGCTGCCAGTCTGCGCTCTGTATTGTTTGCTGGCTGCCTGAACTGACAGTCCACATGTAGAGTTCATGTGAAAGCCTATTTGAAAGTCTTTAAAAGTTCTGGCACTAAACGCACTTCCTGTGTAACATGGTTTCACCTAAAAGGAAAATCCTTAATATACTGTCCGTAGGGTTAAAAAAAACCAAACAAATCTGTATAGCTCAATTCTCACCAAACCGCCCTCACTCCCCCCTTAAAAAAATTGAAGTGATGTTTAAATAGGAGCTGTTGGCTAACTCCTTCCAAGACCATGCCATTTTCTGAGTTACTCTCTTAGTCATTGAAGAGTTTCTTTTGTACTCATGAAAACAGACTACTACTGATCAGATTGGAAATGAAACTGTTTACTGTATTGTTGTAAATATTGTACTTTATATTCTGTATATTAGCTTCTTTTAAAGGAAAACAAACCAACCTTAATGCTATTTGATATCTGGTAAGGAAAAGGTCCAAGGATGAACCAGAGTCTAAGCTTCCTCCAAAAGGGCGGCAGTGTCTTGCCCCGATTTCAGATTTTAAGTGGTTTTCCCCCCTCTGTTTTGGAAGTCTGTCCTTCATAGTTTTAAAAACGGGCCAAGAGTTGCATGTGTTTACTAGCAGTGGTTTTTAGGCTGTCAGAGACCTTTGAATCCTAATCCATTTTGGATGAGGCACCAAGAAACGCACACAGCGAGAGCCTGAAGCATTTGAACTCTTGTGAGTACCCGTGGATTATCTCTCTTTCTCCTGTTAGTGCCAAAACCTACTCACTTCTGATTTGATCTCTAGCTGCCTGTATACGGCATTATGTTTTTTTTCCCCTCGTTGCCTTCAAGGGCACAAGTCCAGTCATCTATTTGCCTCCGTTGTTCTCTGCCGTCCTGTGCTGTGGCACTGCTCCTTGGAAAGGCTTTGTGATAGTGGTTCATCCTTCACTCTCAATTTATAAATTCTAACTATGAATGTTTGATTTCCAAGTCACGTACCAAACGGGCTTCTTTGTGAAAAGGTGATGTTCTGAAGCTCGTTGATGAAAACGGGTTATGGTAATTCTCTGGTTACAAGGAAAAAAAAACAAACCCTTACAATAAATGCCAAACTTCCTGGTTATTGTCTGTGTGTCCATTCCTGCCTTCTACAAGTGTTTTGTCTTTTCCTAACATCCGACTTCAATATAGCTGAACACTTAGCACCAAATCAGGGCCTTGATGAGTGAATCTTTTTTAGGAAAGGGGACCATGTTGGTTATTAATGGCACTGTCTTAGTGTCCTAAAATGCAGTCACCTGAAAAGGTTAATGACCAATTGTGGAGTGACAGATTTTACTAGAATTTGCATAGCAGCACCAAAAAACTACACAACTGATCTGCTAGGCATAAGTAACCCTCTTCCTGCAAGTGTTCTTCCCTTCTGTGCTAGTTTACAAAAGGATGCTAATGCAGAGCGTGTAAACTCCAGTATCGGACCACTTGGTAGAATCATAGAAAATGAGGGTGTGAAGGGAGCTCAGGAGGTCATATCTCGTCCAACCCCTGCTCCAAGCAGGACCTTCCCCACCTACATCATCCCAGCCAAGGCTCTGTGTAGCTGGGGCTTAAAAACCTCCAAGGATGGGGAGACTCCACAGCCTCTCTGGGTAACCCGTTCCAGTGCTTTTCTACTCGGCTAATGAGAGTTTTTCCTGATATCCAACCTAAACCTCCCTTGCTGCAACTGGAGCCCATTGCTCCTTGTCCTGTCACCTGCCACCGCTGGGAACAGTCCAGCTCCATCCTCTTTGCAGCCCCGCTGCGGGGACTTGAAGGCTGCTATTTGATCCCCCTTCATTCTTCTCTCCTGCAGACTAAATAAGCCCAGGTCCCTCAGCCACTCCTCACCAGTCATGTGTCCCAGCCCCTGAACCATTTTCATTGCCCTCCGCTGGGCACTCTCCAGTGTGTCCGCATCCTTTCTGTAGTGGGGGGCCCAAAACTGGACACGGGACTCCAGTACTTCCCACAATCTGCTGACAACACTCCTACCAACGCAGCCCAGGATGTCGTTAGCCTTCTTGGTAACAAGGGCACGCTGCTGGCTCCTGTTCAGCTTATTGCCCACTGTCACCCCCAGGTCCTTTTCTGCAGAGCTGCTGCCCAGCCAGTCCCCCCCCGCCTGTGCTGGTGCATGGGATTGTTCCGTCCTCAGTGCCAGACTTTGCACTTTGTCCTTGTTGAACCTTCTTGAACCTCATGAGATTTCAATAGGGTAAGTAGCTTTTAATTGCGTAGGTAAAATTCCACTAAGCAAGTACAAAGGCAACAAAAATTAGCTCAGTTTCGTAGGTCTTTTCCTCTTGGCGGTTCCACTGCTTTTGCTTTCTGCCTTCTGGAAGTCTGAACCTTTAATCTTGCCACGTTCAAACATATGTTATATCTCTGGTGTCCGAAGAGCAACAGATGATAGGGATGGGGGTGTTCTGGAACCTCCACGAGGGCGAGCAGGTTTCACACCCATATCTCTTGCTATGCGATAGCCGAGCCACTTGTGCCTGGCTGATTCTAGTGCTGTACCTTGCCTGTATTGATCAAGAATCTGCCCCTATGCTTCAGGATTATCTTGCTGGTGAATTACAAAGGCTCTCCTTTACAAGCAGGAAGAGACAGTTTGCATAAAACCTTTTTAGCAATCTATTCTCCCAACCATCTTGCTTGCACCTTTCAGTTCTGGTGTGTTTAGCTTCCCCCACCCCCCCGTCTTTCTTCTTTTCTTTATCTTGCCCATGCAGACCTTGCTTCACCAGAAGTGAGACAACAGCAGCAGCGCTGGTGGTGAATTTAATTTCCTGCTATTTAACAGAGGCTGAAATTAGCATCACAGTATAGGTGCCAGGAGGTTCTACCTGGCCTGTGTACTTTCAAGAACACCCTCTTAGGCATGTTATCTATTAGGAGGTCCAGTGTTGGGACCTCTGTAAGCAGAACCTGTTGCACTACTTTATTTCTACCGCCACTTTCCTCCCTCCAAAAATGCTGCCTGCACGCCACCCTTCCACAGCCCTCTCAGTTACTGCTACCCCCTTATTTGGTGCTCTCTCTTTAGTGGGACAGTCAAACAAATCTGCAGTTAACCTCATACAGTGTTGATATCCCACTGTTTATATCCCTCTTCTCAAAACCCTAGTTGGCGTGAGCCTGAGCCTGATTTAAATGCTTTGCAAAGCGGCAGACAAGGTTCTTGGGGTGAATCTGATATTTTCTGAAAGATATCAGATTCACCCCAAGAACCTTGTCTGCCTATGTTCTTAGACCAACGTGGCTACAACCTACGCCCTTGCAAAGCAGCATGATTTTCCTGAGCTTGTGAGGGATTCTCCTTTTAGAGTTTTTTTTTTTAAGAGCTCTGTAATTCCTTTTGATTTCATTCTGAGAGGACAGGGGGAGGCTTTTGTGTAGGGACCTTGCAAAGGCAAATTGGGTTTGCACATTCTTGAGACAGTCCTGCTCTCTTCTGTAAGAGTAGGGGCGTTTGGGGGAAGAGGAAGTTTGCTCCAGTTGGATTCAAAGTGCAAGCAGACTCATGCAGATTCACGGAAGTTTCTGGCCGGAACGGACCTCGTGAGATCATCAAATCACCCCAGGAAGGTGCGTGTCCAGGCTCAAAAAGCAGCAATTGCAATGTCAGTAGAACTTCAGGGCCTGAGGTTTCATGCTTAAAAAGAAGTGTTTGCTTAACTAGCTAATTGGGACTCATAGTACAGATGATCTCTTTTATTAGATCAACACGATTTTTGCAAAGAAATTTTCGTTTCTTTAAAGAATTTTATTTCTTTGCAAAAATCTTGTTGGTCTAATAAAAGAGAACATTTCTACTACAAGTCCTGATTGTAGTCATATTGGTCTACAGGAAAAAGCAATTTCAATGCCTGCTTAACTAACTAGCACTCTGCTAACCTCCATCTATAAAAGGAGAAGAGTTTCCAGAGTGAACCGAACTTCCCTGCTCCAAGTAGTTTATTAGCTAACGAAGTTCTGGAGCGGTAGCCAGGGGGACTTGGATTCATTTGCAGAGAAGCAGTAGCTGCAAGGAATTCACCCTCCCATCCCTGACACCCCGAGGTGGGATAGGAAGCATTGCTCCCTTGGACCAATGGCTGGGGAAGTGGTGATCTTGGTTATCTCAAGCTTGTGTTTGCTCTCGTAGTCAAGGCTCTACTTTAATAGACAGCCTGTCACTGTGCAGAGAGAGAAGCCCAGACCCCTGCACCGCTGCACCAGGCCTTTCTCCCAGTGCCCGGGGGTGCAAAGCCCATGCCATGCCCGGCCTTTCCCTAACCTTCCTCCCCATTCCCTCCACGAGCGACTTTTCTGCCCTTCCCCATGGCAGTGATGCAGAAGTTAAGTGCCGCTCCAGGAGGGCGCCCAGGGGCATCTTTCCCTGCACCACGTGTCTGTGGAGCTGGGCTCCAGCGCAAGCTCAGGGCCATGGCACCCATACTCCCCCCGTCCCTCGTGGCCCTTTAAGGCGTCTGCCCCACGCCCCTTCCCTTCCGGGGCTTGCAACACAAAGCGGCACCTCATTGGCCGGCGGCCTCCACACGCCTCTTGGCATTGGCTGCCCCAGACACGCCCCCGGCCAGGCGCGGGTTGAACCACCTTCCAAATTTGAGGGGGGGACACCTCTATGGACTCCCCCCCAAAAACAAGCAAACAAAAACCAACAAAACCTGGCGGGCACGAGCCCCCAAGGGCCGCGCTGTGCTGCTGCCGGCGGCTGCCCCGCGCTGCGCCCCTCTGGGCCGGCAGAGGCGAGCTCCCCTTTCTCTGGAGTGGTACAGCCCGCGAGAGATGCCCAGTGCGCAGCACACGTGCTCGGGGGAGCGGGCATGGGGCCGCTGCTGCTGCGGGTGCTGCGGGGTCGGCTCGGGTGAGTCCGTCCTGCCCGTACCTGGTGTTGGGGCAGGGGCAGGGGTCCCGGGGAAAGTCCTTCCTTCCTGCCCCTCAACCTGGTGGGACGCCAGGGGCAGGGGTCCTGGGGGAAGTCCTTTCCTCCTGCCCCTCAACCTGGTGGGACGGCAGGGTCCTGGCGGAAGGTCCTTCCTTGCTGGTGGGACCCCAAGGGCAGGGCAGGGCAGGGCAGGACCCCGCAGCCAGCCCCCAAGGGCTGGTGACCTTCCAGGGTGCACAGCACGTGCCTGGCTTTGTCCCGTGGGTGGGGGCCGGCCCGGCTCAGATTTGGGGTGCTGGAGGCTGGATCAGGGGCAGGGACATGCTTGCGCTGCAGGCCAAGTCCCAGGGCTGCGCCGCCCTTGCCAGTCCCGCGCCTGTCCTGCCCTTGCGGCCGTTCCTGGGTCAGCGGCGCTCCTCCCTCCAAGCCTCTCGGATGATATTGGTGAGACGGGGAGTTGGATGCCCGAGCGGCCGCGAGGAGCCAGCGAGCCACTGGAGCGTGCCGTGTGCTGACCGGGCGGCTCTGCCGCGGCACTTTGGACTCCTGCAAACAGGCGCTGGCACGACGGGTTCTCCTCTCCTCGGGAGGGGCGTCGCTTGCAAACCCAGAGGACCCTGCGGAGCGACTGGTACCGCTTCCTTCCCGTCGAGGGCCCTCCGCATGCAAAAAAGCCACCAGGCCGGTAGAGGTGCCCAGGTGCTGCGGCAGGGCAGTGACTTTTGTCAGGTCCCAAGTGCCGAGAGACTTGCCCCTCTGTTTTCCCAGTCCGGAGGTCTCCAGGGGACGCCGTGTCCACCTGGGAATCGTTCTCCTGTCTCCGGAGCTGAAGCCGCATCCTGATGATAAACGAGAGAGATGAGCGGACTACCCCCCCCCCCGGAGCAAACCCAGGGCGGGTGCGCGGGGCTCGTTCAGGCCGTGGCCCGCCTGAGGCCTCTGCCAAACTTTTTGACAAGTACAAATTTTTTCCAAAGCTGTTGAGATTTCTGAGCCTAAGTCTCATTGGCAGCTGATGGGACTTGGGGTCCTAAGTGACATGCGGAGAGAGGGCTATTTGAAGTGGCCGTGCTTTCCTTTCCATTTGAGTGGCTTGTCTCTTCCCTTTGGGGTGTGATGGACCCGTGCGGTGTGCGGCGAGGCTGATCGCGCACCCAGTGCACAGATGAAACCGCCTCGGTAGGGACCAGAGCTGTAGTTTGCATTGCTTGAAGGTGCCTGGTCTTGGCCCAGTTGTGCTTGGTGCTGTACGGACACGGCATAACGATGTTTTCCTCCTGGTCCGTTTTGGAGCTGGCCACAAGGGCTCCTCTTTGTAGCCAGAAAGTGTTTGAAGGGACGTGATGTGTGTCATGGGGTCGTCACTGGCAGGGACTCTTCGGAGGCCCGTCTCTGGGGTCCGGGAGCTCTGTGGCCCAGGTGGGGTGAAGCCGGTTGTGGATTCTCAATGGTTCTCACTCCTTCCCCGTGCAGACTGCGATGGCAACACCGCTCGACCTTTGAGGTGGCCAACGAGCCCATCCTGGAGTTCAAGCTGGGCAGCCTGGAACGAGCCGCCCTGCAGAAGGTACCAAGCCGGCCCTGCACCTCCAGGCTGGTCTTTAGCTCAGGTGGCAGGACGCTTCTCCCAGCCCCTGGTTGGTGACCTTTTGTCCTCCCCATCCTTGCGCCACCTCTTCCAGCTCCTACAATGCACGTCTTCACCCTGGCTGAAGGGCAAATCCGAGCTTCGCCTCTCCTCAGGGCATGAGCCTGGTGCCAGGCTGGTGGGCAGGTGAAGAGGGACTCTGACAGGGGCTGTGTGTGGGGCTGGGGTAGCTTCATTAGGTCCCTCTGTGTGTCAGGGATAGGGGGGTGCTGAGTCCCCTTCTGTCGCGCCTTCCCTCCGACAAGGGGAGCTGCCAGCCTCACTTGGTCCTCGTTCATCCCCAGGCACTAAACGACTTGAAGGGCAAGACTGAGGCCATTCCATGCGTGGTCGGGGGACAGGAGGTGTGGACGTCTGACGTGAGGTACCAGTTGTCGGTGAGTCCCAGCAGTGAGTGCCTGGTTGCAGGGGCCCTGGGAGTTCCAGCGTTGCGGGGTGGGATGGGTCTCTCTTCATCTAGCCAGGAGCAAGGTAGCACAGGTCACCAGGGGCCCCGGGGACATCCCTCTTAGGCCCCAAGAAACCGTCCTGCTGCCTGGACCCACTTCCATCCAGTCCGCTGGATGAATGCAGCTGGAGCAGCTGCAGAGGAAGGCGGACGAGCCCTGTAGCTGGCAGATGGGTCTTGGCCCGGTCTCTGTGCTATCCCAGTCTCCAGCAGAAGCTGTTGTAAAACCCTCAGTTAGTGCGGGTTTCCGGAGCGATGCAGAGCCTGGCTCTGCCTGGCCTCGGAGTAGCTGAATTCTGGGCTGGAACCTGCATTTCAGCCTCTTTCTGCATAGACGAGGCTAATGTTTGTTGTAAGCAAGCGTGATAGCGAGACTGGCTGATGTGGGACGTAGGTGTCTGGGTGACCCCAGCAGAAAGGCAAGGGAGGCTGCTCTGGAAGGGGAGCAGGTGCCTGGGAGCAGTGGGGATGGGAGGGCAGGGAGTGTTGTCGGGGAGGTATTTCATTGCAGCACAAATCACCCCAGACTTTCCTCGTCCTCTTTGCAGCCATACAACCACGCGCACAAGGTGGCCAAGTACTGCTACGCAGACAAGGTGAGCGCGCCCCGTGAGGCTGCCCGGATCTGCCGTCCAGTTTGCGGTCTGCAGGGGGCTGGCTTGAGGACGCAGGGTGGGAGGGCAGTACTGGGCTGGGCGCTCCCTTAGCAGCAGCAGCAGCAGCACAGGCCTGTGGAGGCTGCCCTGGAAGAGAGCAAAGTGCAACCGATCCTGCCTGTCCCAGCAGGTCCATAACCCCATGCTGCCAGCTGGAGGCATGTGAGCCTGCTTCCTGAAATGTGAGCGCCTTGCTGCCGTGCCAAGGAGCCAGCTGCTGTTTGCCCTAAGCCTTTCCAGTGCCACAGGCTGTGCCCTGTGCAGGTGCTTTTTCCACCTCCCTCAGGATACAGTGCTCCTCCTCCTCCTTGCAGGGGCCTGACACATTTTGGAGGGGGTTTCAGCCTCATGCAGTGCAAGGTGTGGCTGAGGTGGATGGGAGGCCTGTGCAGCCGCTGGAGGAAGTGCTGTAGGTGACTCCCTAGCGGGTCCCTTTTCCTCAGAGGTAGCACTGAGCTGGGCCCTGCGCGATGCTGGGTGCTGTGCTCCAAGACAGGCATTGGGAGACCACAGTCCCCAGCCAGGCCCTAGGTTGGGCCGTTTGGCAGCTGGAATGGAAACTTTCCCAGAAGTTTCAACTGGAGCAAAGGTGGTTCTTCTTTTCCTGCCGGAAATGGGGTGAGGGCAGGTGAAGGGTTTGACTGTCTGCAATGGGGACGGAGGACTTGCTGCTTGGGGGCAGTCTACCTGCCTGCTCTGGTCCAGCCGAAGGGGAAGCTAAACAGTGTTTAGTGTTTCTCTTGGGGGTTGCCAGCTGTAGCTTACCTTCCAGTGCCCACAGGACAGGAGCAGGCACACAGTGGTTGCAGGAGATTCAGCTGAACGATAGCACGTCCTCCGTTCCCTTAAACGTGGTATAACAGCTCATCTGTCCTCATGCCGTGCTATCCAGCTGCTGCCTGCCCTTCCAGAGGTGGCTGCTTTTCAGTAGTTGAAGGAGCCCTGCTATTTATGGCTCTCCTGTCTCACAGTGGGATACATGGAGACAGCACTTGGGGACTGCCATGCTTATTGACATGTGAAGTGATATAACTGTTCCCAAAAAATCTAGAAAACCCCGTTGACTTTGACCTGCCATCTGGTGAGGCCCTTGGTATTTAGAGTTGTGTGAGCGTGCAGCCGTGGACTTCAGGACAGGCTGCAGGTTGTCACGAATGTGTGTGGAGTGGAGGTGGGGTGGGTGGTGCCCATATAGACAGTGCGTCCTGCCTTCAGCCCTGGATCTGAGCCTTCCTGAACCCAAGGGTATCCTGATCTGGCCTTGTGTTTCCACCTGCCTCTCTGTAGGACCTGATTAACAAAGCCATCAATGCTGCCTTGGCTGTGCGGAGGGAGTGGGACCTCCGGCCCATCCAGGACAGGGCACAGATCTTCTTCAAGGCAGCTGACTTGCTGAGTGGCCCTAGGCGAGCAGAAGTGCTGGCAAAAACCATGATCGGGCAGGTAGGGCTGCATGCAAGGACTGCTGGGACCAGCCATGACAACTGGAGGGTTGGGTGCAGGAGAAATGGGCAGGCTTAATGAGGATGAGAAGCTGGTGGGGCTATACCATAGAGACGGGCCCAGGTGAGTGGCCCTAGCATTACATACACCCGTGACTCGGTGAGGACTGGCTGGATGGTGACTTACCCTCTTGGTGCTGGGCACGTTCAGCCTGTTCTGGCAGAGAGAGGGGCCTGTGTGAAGGGGGGCACTGCAAGGAGTGCTAAAATCTGCCCTTCCCAAGTCCTAAGTAGGGAATTTAAGGCCAGGCTGAGGACCAAGAGCCTGCTGAGTGGGTGGAAATACCTGGCAGCGGATGAAAGTGCCCTCCATCTCTCTTGGCTTGAGTCCCTTGAGCACTGGTTGCTGTAGAAGCAGGTGGAGGGTCCCAAGCATGGGCAGGAACTGGACTGTACGTGGGCGGCAGAGGGGGCTCACTAGCACCCCATAGGTGGCTCAGGTCTTTGCTGTGACTATTGAGAGGTAAAACAGGCATTGTTCTGGGCAGGGCTGGGGTTTCCTGGTCTGCTGGTGTTTGCTGGGCTGGATCCAGCACCCTGTAGTGGGTGAAGCTCAGTTTGAAGCTGGGGTAGGCCAGAAGTCCTCAGGGTGCTGCTGCCAAACCAGCCCCATTTTGGGAGTGAGGCTTCCTGCTGGCAGAGGCAATGTGGAGGGATGCGGTGTGCGATGACGTGTCCCGTGCTTGTCCCAGCCTCAGCGAGAGGGACGTGTAGGGGGTGCCTGAGCCTCACTGGTCTTCCCCGTTCTCCCGTCAGGGCAAAACCATCATCCAGGCGGAAATCGATGCTGCGGCCGAGCTGATCGATTTCTTCCGGTTCAATGCCAAGTATGCGATGGAGCTGGAGGAGGAGCAGCTCATCAGCGTGCCTGTCAGCACCAACAGCATGGTCTACCGGGGGCTGGAGGTGAGGAGCAGGGGCACCGACTTCCACCGTGGTGGGGCGAGCAGGGTCTCTCCCCTCGGATCAGGCTGGTGGCTGTGCTGGAGGGTGGGATAGGTGCCCCGTGCTCTTTGTGCGTCCCGGTGGGAAGCCTTTCCATCCGCCCCCACCCAGCAGGGCTTTTGCACTGTGAGATTCATCCTCTTCCTCCCTGCAGGGCTTTGTGGCAGCTGTTTCTCCCTTCAACTTCACGGCAATCGGTGGGAACCTGGCAGGGGCTCCGGCGTTGATGGTGAGTGTTTGGGACGGGGGTGGTCTTTGGGCAGTGCTTGGATTTTTTTTAAGGCATGACAGGGCCTATTGCCTTAAGCCAGCTGGGTGCCAGCAAGCCATCAGCTCATGATCACCGGTAAAGCAACTTTACTGGAAAACCAGGGCTGGGCTCCCAAAAGAGACCCAGTGCTGGGGAAAGGTGGATTTTAAGGTGCTCAGAACAAATGGTAAGGCCCACCCACTCCAGTAGCTCATCCTGGCTGCTGATAGTTGCCACCTGCCCTGAAGCAGCAGGGTTTGTTTTAAGCCTCTTGCTTGCTGTAACCCCTTTTCCGTGTAATGTTCCTTTTGCTTTTGCTAATTTGTTGGCCGCGCTGACACCTAGTGGCAAGCTGAACCTTACATTGGGCAAAACCTTGCCTGTCCTTTTTGATTGTCACCTGTGAGATGTCCCTTTTGCGCTTGTGTAAGAGAAGGGCCCTGGGATCCTCTGGGTCCCCCTTTCTCCCTGGGCTGCTTCAGGCAGGGGGCAACACCGGCGTCGATATTCTGCCGTAGTGGGCAGTGTGGCCGGGTTGGGCCGTTGTTGAGCGGTGCCGGTGGGAGGGCTGGCATAAGGACCATACGCCCTAATCGGAGCTGGTTGTAGAGCAGCGGTTGCATTAGGAGACTGTGAAATTAACTTGTTAATGAGGCTACTAATTTCACAGTTGCGCCGTGTTACACAGGCACTGGGGTCAGAAACGGCTGATCACGGCGGCACTCGTGCGAGCAGGTAGGATTGCTCAAGTGCAGCAGGCTGTTTCCAGGAGCAGCAGCTTGAGCCCGGTCGTAGCATGAGGAAGGACACGGGGGTTTTCCGTTCACTTGGGAGGGTGGGAACCGGCCAGGAGAATTGCAGGCTTTGAAGCTCCAGCCTGGCTCAGCAGTTGTGCTTTAGGGGGTAAGTAAAAGGGAGGGAGGAGAGTGGGGTGGGAGGGGGAAGTGTTAGTGCCTGGCATTCAAACAGTGGCTGAGCAGCTGCATCCAGCCCCAAGCTGCTAAACGTTGTGCTGCCCACGTAGGATGCCCAGACCCCTGGAACGGGATAGGAGCAAAGCAAGGGACTGTATGTCAGCAGATTTGGTGCTGGCAAGATGGACTGTGACAGTCAGGGTGGGTTTGGTCCTGGTACATTGTGGGTTAGATCAGAGCTGCTCCTTGCATGGGGAAGAGCTTGTCTGCACGGGGGAATCGCCTTATAATGATTTCACTGCAGCTGCCCTGGGTGGGCTCCTGATTCCAAAATAATGACTCCAGGATTATGTTGCTTTTACTCTGGAATAGGGGATCCCGGGGGGGGTCACACAGGCAAAGCAGTAATGAAATAGTCCTGCGGAGACAACCCCTGCCCGCGGTACCTGGGTCAAGGCGAGGTCCTCAGTGGACTGCAGTTGTGAGCCTTCCCTTAGGTCAAGAGGCAGAGCTGTTGGGTGAATGAGAGGCAGCATTTGGTTTTCCACTGGCTACTTCCTCACTGCTTTCACTGGGTTTTGGACAATGCAGAGGAGAGATGCTTGGTGTTTTGAAGGATGGTCGCCATAACGGAGTGAGCGTGTGTGTGTTGGGGAGAGGGGGACAGGACGTGGGACCGTCTCTTCGCTCTCCTTGCACGGTGCCTGGCTCCTGACTGGGGCGCTCAGGTTCTCCCGAACAGGCAGGATTATGTAGTCCGTTGCACAGGGGAGGCTGCTAATGAAAGAGCAATTATCCAGCTCCTATTCCAGGAAACCCATTGGGATTGTGTGTTGCTTATAGTTTGGGGGAGTGGGTGGGTGCCTTCTTGCAGGCGCTTGTGGCTCCGATAGCAGCCTGGCAGGCAGGTGCAGTGCTGGGGGGTTGGGCAGGGCAGTGGGTGTGATGTACCCAGATTCGCTCTTGCAAAAGCACCCTGGGATCTTTACTGGGCAGGACTTCAGCTTGAAACCCTAAATGAAACACACTGTGTCCATCCACTTGGTGTCCCCCCTGGGGACTGGAGGGGGAAACATCCATGCCGATTGGCTATATTCAGCCCCTCTAGAGCAATGACAAAGGCAGGGGACATAGGTTTCCAGACACTAGTGGATGTCACTCCCCAGGGGAGACTAGGAGGTGTAATGGAGGGGAGAAACATTGATATGGAGAACAGGGAAATCTTTCTGATGCGGGGGATGCATGCACCTAGGGAGCGACCTCTGTCAGGGGCCAGGGAGGGCATCCCCCCCCCCCCCCG